GTAATTTATGCTCTAAGGGACTCCTGTGACTGCTGTAGGCACAATGAACCGGGGATAGTTCGAGACAGGAACCCAGCTGGAGGCTACTGCAGTGGACCAGGCAAGAGATGATATTGGCTTATAAAGGTGATGACATTTTAAATGTTAAGAAATGGCCATAGTTAGGACATAGATCAAAGTCACAATTTGCTAATAGTTTAAAGTCTGGGTGTAAGAGAAAAGCAGGCATCAAGAATGATGCCAAGGTTTTTGGGCACCTGGATAAATAAATGGCAGTGCCATTTGTGGAAATGGGAAACAATGAGGGAAGGGCACAATTGGCCGCTGCGGTAAGAGTTCAGTGGTGGGCACGTTATGGGTATTAACTCGGAGTCTTTTTAGCAATACTAAGGATAGAGAAGAAACCATTGGATTTGGTAATCAAATGTAATCCAATTTACAGGCCAAATTGATATTCAAGCAGGGATGATAAATCAACAACTTGTTATGAAACGAGTTTAGGGGAAAAACTGAGGCTAGAGATAATTTGGGAAGTTACCAGGATATAGTTAAGGCCATGGAACTGATGACCTCACCCAGGGAATAAGGAAAGTTCTAGAAGAATCAGAGAGGACTAAGGCATTGGTCACTTCAACCTAAAGGCTAGGAAGAGGAGAATTCAGCAAAAGAAACTGACTAAAGAGCAATCAGTGCAGTAGGACAACGGAGGTAGAGGCATCCCAGAAGTCAAGTAAAGAAAGACTTCTAAGAAAGTAAAAGGTGAATGTGTCAGATGAGTAAGACGAAAATGAAGAATTAGCCATAGACCCTTACAAGGCAGAGACCATTGTGACCTCAACAAAAGCCACTGCAGCTAAATGGAGGGGATGAAAGCTTAATTTAAGTGGTTCTTAAGAGAAGGGGGGAAAGGGGAAAAGAGGATATGGAGACAATGACTTACAGGCAATTCAAATGATAAATTTTTCCTCTAAAGCAGGGCAAAGAAATCATGGTACCTGGGTAGGCACATGGGGTTCAGGGAAGGTTTGGGTTTTTTTTTTTTTAAGATAAGAGTTACTGTGCATTTTGCTGTTGCTGTTGCTTGGTTAGTTGGATTTTGTTTTTGTTTTTGACACAAGGTCCTGTTCTGTTGCCCAGGCTGGAGTGCAGTGGCATGATCATATCTCGCTGTAGCCTCGAACTGCTGAGCCTGAGTAATCTCCCTGCCTCAGTCTACAGTAGCTGGGACTACAGGTTTATTTTGTTGCTGTGGCGGTGGTGGGGTTTTTTCTCTCTTTTTTTTCTTTTTTTAGAAACGAGGTCTCACTATGTTGCTCAGGCTGGTTTTGAATTCCAGCCTCAAGTGATCCTTCCACTTCGACCTCACAAAGTGCTGGGATTACAGGTGTGACCCACTGCACCCAGTCTATTGCACATGTTTGTATGCCAGTGGGAATGATCCAGTAGAGGGAGAATACAATGCATGCAGGATAGAGAGGCTAATTTTAGGAGCAAAGAGCTTAAAGAAGTTAGAGAGAATTGACAAGGATATAGAAATAAAAATTCCATTTGATCCAACAATCTCATTACTGGGTATATACCCAAGGGATTATAAATCATTGTATTATAAAGACACACGCACACGTATGTTCACTGAAGCACTGTTTACGATAGCAAAGACCTGGAACCAACCCAAATGCCCATCAATGATAGACTGGACAAAGAAAATGTGGCACATATACACCATGGAACACTACACAGCCATAAAAAACAATGAATTCATGTCCTTTGTAGCGACATGGATGAATCTGAAAACCATCATTCTCAGCAAACTAACCAAAAACAGAAAATCAAACACCACGTGTTCTCATTCATAGGTGGGTGTTGAACAATGAGAACACATGGACACAGGGAGGGGAGCATCACACACTGGGGTCTGTTGTGGGAGCTAGGGGAGGGACACCAGGGAGTGGGGAGGGTGGGGAAGGATAACATGGGGAGAAATGCCAGATATATAGGTGATGGGGGGATGGAGGCAGCAAAACACCTGCCATGTATGTACCTATGCAACAATCCTGCATGATCTGCACATGTACCCCAGAACCTAAAGTACAATTTAAAAAAAAAAAGAGAGAATTGAAATCCAACATATAGATTGAGGGAATGGCCTTTAATACAAGCAAGGACAGTTCATCCATTATTAACAGGGAAAAAAAGTAGAGTACATATATATAGATGCTGGCAGTTTCATAGATTTCGTGGTGGGAAGATACGAAGATCTTTCAGAATTCTATTCTCAGTGAAGAAAAAAAATGAAATCACCAGCTAAGAGCAAGGAGGAAAGGATGCAGAAGGTTTGAGGAAAGAGCACTCACCATAATTTCTGGGACAGCTGGAAAATGAACTGACTGGGGAAATACAGTACGACTGGCAAGCAGCACTGCGAGCCCACATGAAGTTCAAGGGCATGGATTTAAAGGTCAATTAGCATACTTAGCATAGTTGTTTGCCTGACTCTTGCCATTATCTGTTATTCCAAGTGCAGGCAAGAATTGGATTTAACAAGGCAAGAATGACAGAAGGAGAGAGGATCAAGGGAGTGATTCCATTGTTAGTCCATGGAATATAAGGTGAGGAGAGACAGCAGGACATAAGACAGTGATATATAATGAAAAGTTAATAGGATCAGTGGATTAGAAGTCCCTTTGAAGCTGAAAATTTGATGGGGGTTCATGGAGGAGTGAGCTGGAAAGCTAAGACATGGTTAGAGATTAGAGTGCTTGAAATATTCTGGAAACGGTACAGCAATTAACAATGGCTTTGATAGTGGGTGCCTATGATGGGGTGAAGGGCAAGATCTTTCCCAGTGAGGAGGTCAAAGAACCGAGAAGCAAACCGATCATCCAAGTGGATCTGAAATCTCCATGCAGGAAGAAAGTTCTTCAGGAGATGAGAGTGGTATCTAAACCCTAAATGAAGGATTTTGCTTTTTTTTTTTTTAAAGAAGCACGGTTCTTCCCTGAAATATGAGAAAAGGCGGAATTCCTGGGTACAGATGAGGGTAAAACAATAGATCCACTGTAAGAAAATAAGGGATTTCATGACTGATCACTTCCATTTTTTCAATAAAGAATGTGGAAAAGTCTTCAACTGAGTCGGGGGTCAAAGGTGTGAAGTTTAGAGGAGAGTAAAGAAGGCAGTTAGTCATCACTTCAGAGACTGGGAAAACTAACCTACTAAGGGAATAAAGTGAGCTGAAACTGAAATAAACCAGATGTTATGACTGTGCCATTTTGCACAGCAAGAGTCAACTGCTGAGGTGTAGGAAGAGAGTAGATGGATGGCTGGCTTTAACCAGGGTTGGGGTTTTTGTCAGAAGTATGGTGGATAACAAGAGAGCCAATGGAGTGGTGGAAGACGGAAGGGAGCAATTGTGATGGCAGACCATGGAATCAAGGCTGGGTAAGGAGTCAGAACATAAGATAAAAATTGGTCTTCCAAAAGATTGGTGGCCTAATGAGGACAAATAAATGTTTTGGGTTGGGTCACTAGTGAGGGGTCATAAAAGAGCTGGCGGGGTCAGAGCAAGGATGTTTATACCCAAGTCCCATCTGCTCTGTTATCTGGTGAATGTGGTGAGGATTGAGCATATCCTGAGCACATTGTAGATGCATACTCTTCGAATACTTGCTCAGTGAATGTTTTCCACATGCGACCACATGCCAAACACTGATGAAAATATTCTCTCTTCAAGGATCACTCCCTTGAGTTGAGGAGAAAGATGAATGGTGAAATACAAGATCTCAAGTGCTCTAATAAGGGTAATATTCTAAGTGCGACCCAGGGGGTTGCAATGGCTAACTGTAGAGGCGAATAAAGAAAGGCTTCAAAAGGATGAGACGATAGCTCATCAGGTGGCAGTGGAAGAGAGTATGTTTCCCTCATTATCGGCGTGTCAATTTCCCGTCTGAGTCCCTTGAAACCCCAGGACTGATGGTTGTGAAGCAACAGGCAAATGACATGAGTTCCTTTCAATATGGCAAGCTCTTGCATGCAAACCTCCACCTTAGGACCCCAGTTCTAGATGGGGCGTGGTTGCTCAGCGCGTGGGGAATGAGGGGAGGGAGGAGCAGGGGAGGAGACGTGGGAAGGGGAACACCTACCGCCCAGGAAAGACAGCTGAGGAGGCCGTGGCGGGACTCTGGTGATCAGAGATGGGGAGGTCAATACTGCGGCGCTGGGAAGCAACACGGTTTCCTTGGCCTTGCAGGGCTTGCGGGGCTCACGGGTTTGGCGGGCCTGGCGGGACTCACAGGCCTTGCGGAGTTTGGGGGCTGCACGGGGCTCATGGAGTTCGTCGGGTGCATAGGAATCCCGGGGCTCGTGGGGCGCATAGGGCGCGTGGGGCTCAAAGGGCTTGTAGTGCTCATCACATTGCTCGGAGTCGTCTGGCTGGTCTTGCTCCCGGATCTTCTCGGGCTCCTCGGCATTCTTGACTTCCTCGGGATCCTCGTACTCCCCAAGGTCGCTGTGAGTGTCGAGAATCCTGAGCACAGTGGGCTTCTGGACGACTTCGGAGCAAGTGGATATTTCTGTTGAGTCCTGCCCATCGATCACCTCGGACGGCGGAGACGAACCTGGAAACTCTTGGTTCTCCATTCGCGCCAGAAGCTTCTGTCGCACGCGGCGCTCACCCTCCCGGCTGGCTGCCCAGGCGCAGTTTGCCTCCCACGCGCTGCTCCCAGGATGCCGGGGCAGTTTGCGCCAGTCCACGCCCAGCCCCGCCCCGCCCCGAGCCCCACACAGCCCCGCCCCAGTCTCACGCCCCCCCGAGCCCCGCCCTGGGCCCACACAGCCCAGCCCTATCCCCGCCCCATCCCCGCCTCCAACCCTCCGAACAGCCCCGCCCCAGTCTCACCCTCCCGAGCCCCGCCCTAGCCCCACACAGCCCCGCCCCAGCCCCGCCCCGATCCCAACCCCCCCCAAACAGCCCCGCCCCTGCGGGAACCCAGCTCCGCCCCTGCGGGAACCCAGCTCCACCTCACGCCGTCTTCCTACGCGTTGTGGTTGCCTAGGGGGCGCACAGTTCTCCAGGACCTTCGGGGCGCATCCGGGCGGAGAAAAACCAGAGGCGCGTCGGTGGAGATAGGAGACGAGTTCCTGACCCTGTTGCCCGTGTCCAGGGCGAGAATTCTCGTCTGCTGTCTTTCGCGGAGGCCCTAGGGTAGAAGATGTCAGTTCTAATCTAGTTAGGGCGCCCCTCAGACCCCAGAGCCAATCTATATAGAGACTGTGCCCAGAGGTTCACGGATACAATCTCTATACAGGCTTTTGTCCCCTAATCATGCTGGGAGAGGATGCTGAGACTGATAATATTCTAAGACCCTCAATCTCTACCGCTGATTTCCATCAATTTCTAGTTAAATACACAGCAATCAGAATGGAGCCGGGGCGGGGCGGGGGGGGGGGGCGGGAGCGGAGGAGTGCGAGGGAGCTGGAGGCACCAGTGCGACATTTGACATGAGCTTACATTCAAGAAGAGTCTCAAAGTTGGATGTTTTACTTTATCTCCACATGAAGTTCTACACACAGTCACAAAGAAACACTGGATTAAAAGAAAATTATATTCATCTACAACTTGTGTCTCATTACAGGACTCACTATCTACTGAAGTATGCTATAAACTACTTTTCATACAGGGCTGTAATTATCTTGTGAACAGTACAACTGTGTGCTGTGTTCTGTGGGTGCGTCCATTAATTTGGTAACTGTGATATCTTTTATACCACAATTTTTGTAACCCTGTTTTTGGCATTCCCCCTTTTTTGTCACTTATTATACCAAGAGACTTTAAAAACTTAGGTGGCCTGGCCCTCTTTCAATCATTGAGGAGTGCTTTCAGCTAATTTTCATGGTGGCGACAGTGTGGTAGAGGGGAATAGAAGTGGTGGAGTTTATTTTCAAGGAAAGGGACTAGAGGTGTTAAGGAATAAGTTGTCTGTTAAAGTATATAGTAAACCCAAGTACCCCTTTTGCCCATTGCTGGGTATTCCTTCCTTGTATGTACTTAATCTTATAGATGCTAAGAAAAGTTAGAAAAGAAATATTTTGGATTGCGAATGTTATCTGGAATGGAACTAAGAGATTCATTCTAGCATATGTGTATGTGAATCAGACAATCTCCTTCAACCTCTCTTTGACATAGATGTGTGTAGTAACGTATGGAAATTCAAAAAATATCGCCCAAAACTTGGAAGGAGAAATACAGCTACTTCTCAGAGAGTTTTAACTCAACCTGTAAACTCATCAGGGAGGAGTTATGCAAATCCACCTTTAATCAGTAAAACTAGTCCATGACTAAATGAAATGTCTTCAAAAGTCCAAAGAACGGGTCAATTGAGAGACAGGGATTCAGCCCACAATGGACGTACAGAGACTCATAGAGGCTGTGCCCTTTCAAAAACTGCAGAAAGGAGGGGATCTAAGCCAACACACTGCAATTGTTACAACCTGTCCTTTAGGCCCACTTGCTATGAAGGTGGTGCCACTATACATCAAAATATTCATGCTCGGCTTTCTTTCTTTTTTATTTGAGACAGGATCAAGCTCTGCTGTCCAGGCTGGAGTACAGTGACATGATCTTGACTCACTGCAACTTCTGCCTCTTGAGCTCATACAGTTCTCCTACCTCAGCCTCTTAACTGGGATTACAGGCACATGTAACCATACCTGACTAATTTTTTGTATTTTTTGTAGAGACAGGGTTTTACCATGTTGCCCAAGCTGGACTCAAACTTCTGAGCTCAAGTGATCCCACCTTGGCCTCCCAAAGTGCTAGGATTACAGGTATGAACTATTGCACCCGGCCCAGGCAGCTTTCTGACATGGCTCAGCTTCTCAAGGAGTCTGCTTATTGGGAAAGATTAGTAATGAGCACACAGAAAGAATTCTTGTCTATGTCTGTCTTAGTTCATTTTATGTTGCCATAATAGAAAACCTGAGACTGGTAATTTATAAAGAACTTATTTAACTCTCTCTCTCTCTTTTCTTTTTTAATAAAGATGGGGTTTCTCCATATGGCCAGGCTGGTCTTGAACTCCTGATCTGAGGTGATCCACTCACCTCGGCCTCCCAAAGTGCTAGGATTACAGGCGTGAGCTGCTGCGCCTGGCCAAGAACTTATTTCTCATAGTTCTGGAGGCTGGGGACTCCAATCACATGGCTCTGGCATCTGGTGAGTCTTTCTTGATGCCTGGTAACATGGTGGAAGGGCAAATGGGTATGAAAGACAGGCACGAGGGGCTGGACTCACTTTATAACAACCCATTGCCATCATAATGACATCGCGATAATGTCACGGTGGGCCACTCTGGCCCTTCATCATTTCTGGATTCTACAGTGGCCTCTGAACTGGTGGAACTTCTGACTTTTACCTTTGATCACCTCTAATCATGACACCACACCATTTTTTTAAACCCTCAAGCTTTGCATTATAAGGTGTCCCATACTCTGGTCCTTCTCTCTCTCTCTGGTCTGCTTTGAGCCACTCCACATTACTGTCTACATTCTGACCTCCCTGCTCTTTTCTAAAGGGTCAAGCTTTTCCCATTTCGATCTCTTCTCACACCTGTTCCCATTGCCTGGAACCCATTTCTTCCCACTCTTTATATACCATCTCTTTTCTATCCTTTAGGGTTCAGCTTAAATATCACCTACTGAAAGAGGTCTTTCTGGGCCATATTAATTTTTTTGTTGTTTGTTTGAGACCCAGGCTGGAGTAGAGAGGCACCATCTCGGCTCACTGCAACCTCCACCTCCCAGGTTCAAGCTATTCTCCTGCCTCAGCCTCTTGAGTAGCTGAGATTACAGATGCCTGTCACCACACCTGGCTAATTTTTGTACTTTTAGTATAGGCAGGGTTTCACCATGTTGGCCAGGCGGAATTCGAACTCCTGACCTCAGGTGATCGGCCCACCTCAGCCTCCCAAAGTGTTGGGATTACAGGTGTGAGCCACCATGCCTGGACTTCCAGGCCATTTATTAATTTTTAAAATGTTGCCACCATTATTTTCTGATTCAGTTCCTTGCTGCAGCATAATTTGTACTTATTTTATCTGTTTATTTATTTTTGTGTATTTCCCCAGCTACAATGTAAGATCCTTAAAGACAGTGACATTCTCTGTCCTGGTCACTGGTATATTCCCTGTGCCAAGCACAGTGAATGACTGTAAATAGCTGTCATTATTTTGTCTTCCTGCCCAGAATCCCTTCCCTCTTTTTCTGAAGGCAGAACCCCCTCCCCTCCCACCTTCCACAGGGAACTTATTAAATATAGTTTAAGGAGCTGATCCTTCCTTCTAACCCAGGTGTGACCAATCCAGCCACAGTAATTGGTTCCAGGATGGATATGCAACCCCAGAAGAGCCAATTGGTATCCTTCCATGAGATTTAATGGAAGGCTTTTCAGAAAGGGAGGGTCCATGTTACTCTGGGATCATGAGCTATAAGAATGGCTTGTGTTAACAGCAGTTATCTTGCTACTCTGAGTAGGGAATCTGAGAATCAAACTAAGCAGAGGTTGGTGGGGCCAGGACATGGAGAAACAGTCTTATCTTTGAACTCATGAACTCCTAAATCCACCCATGTCCAGATTTTCCAGGATGATGAGGAAAAAAAAATTATTTCTTTTTGGGGTACACACAAATTTGAGTTGAATTTCCATTAAAACATTAATTTTGTAGAGACAGGGTCTTTCTATGCTGTCCAGGTTGCTCTCTACCTCCTGACCTGCAGTGGTCCTCCTGCCTCTACTCCCCAAAGTGTTGGGATTACAGGCCTGAGCCAGCGTGCCCAGTTGTTTTTTCTTTTTCTCTCTTTTTTTTTTTTTTAGACAAGGTCTTATTCCATCGCCCAAGCTGAAATGCAGTGATGCAATCACTGCTTATTGCAGCCTCCACTTTCCCAGGCTCAAATGATCCTCCCACCTTAGCCTCCCGAGCAGCTGCGACTACAGGCATGTGCCATCACATCTGGCTGGTTTTTTGCTTGTCTCTTTGTTTCTGGTTTGTGGTTTTTGAAGAGATGGGGTTTTGTCAAGTTGCCCAGGCTAGTCTCAAACTCCTGGGCTCAAATGATCTGTCTACCTTGGCGTCCCAAAGTGCTGGGATTGCAGGCATGATCCACTGCACCTAGCCTGAATTTCCATTATTTTTAACTGAAAGAGTTCTGGCACATCTTCTGGCACGTGGTGCTTCCAAAATGTTTACTGAATGAAAAGGCATGTCCGCTCTTGGTGTGCTAACTAAACCTACTTTCTGACATGACTCAACTTCTCAAGCACAGAAGGCTTGTAAGCCTGGAAGGCTGGCAACAGACACCAGGCTGTGGTAAATTCTCCAAGGTAGTATGCCACCCCAATAGGTCCATTGGGCAGAATACCAGCCAGGCAGCCTCTCTGACAACACCAACCTGTCTTGGTTGTCTAGTGCCATTTCTAAGTGCTATTTCTGTTAGAAACCCCCATGACACAAACCCTCGTCATTAGCCTGAGAGCATCTCAAGTACGGAAGCCCTGCTTTGTTAATCCTGGTGTCAGGCAATGACTGCCATGTTGGCACTTCACAGCTGTCCACTAAAGGAAAAACTCCAGCCACAACACTTGTTGCCAAAATGCAGAATCTAAAGTCAGAATCTGAGAGTAAAAAGACCACATAAGGAAGAACAGATATATTGTTCCCCATCCTGAAAGCTCTTGGTATTGTCTTTGAAATAAGCATCCAGAAACTTGTCTGTGTCTCTGATAACCTTAGAAAACCTAGAGAAGACACAAGCACATAGAATCAGAGTTTAGGGCTGGAAGTGGTCTGCATCTCACTTGATCTTTTTATAAGGACAAGACCAAGACAGACAAGGAATTTGTCCAGGGATCCATTTGCGGTAATCTTTGGGGCAGAAGCTAAAATCCAACATTTTTGACAATTCCCAATCATTGTGTGATCCACCCTCCATAGGCCAGACAAGAAGAAAGTTTTGGGGTTTTGTTTTTGTTTTTTTGAGACAGTCTTGCTCTGTCACCCAGGCTAGAGTGCAGTGGTGTGATCTTGGCTCACTACAACCTCCACCTTCCTATTTCAAGCAATTCCCCTGCCTCAGCATCCCAAGTAGCTGGGATTACAGGGATCTACCACCACACCCGGCTAATTTTTTTGTATTTTTAGAAGAGCCGGGTTTCACCATGTTGGTGAGGCTGGTATTGAACTCCTAACCTCATGATCCGCCCGCCTTGGCCTCCCAAAGTGCTGGGATTACAGGTGTGAGCCACCATGCCTGACCCTCCATTTGTATTATTTCACCACAGATTCCAAATTTTAAAAGGAGGGATTTATAGAGCAAACTCTCTTTTCAATTTTTTTTTTAAACCAAAGCAAGGCACTATAGTTACAAGTTGGATTTACAGAGTGTCTGCAAAGAAATATAGTTATCCACTCTTTCTAGTGAAGAAAGTTTGTCTATATAAAAGCAAAATGTTAAGAATTTAAAAAACAGATCCCCACAATGTTCCTCATCTAGTCTAACAGGCTCTTGGAAAAGAAGCCCTTCCTAACTCTTTCTGGATGCTGTTAATGTTTATTTCTCTGTGGGTTTGACAGAGTTCACTTTCTCATTGTCCTACCCTGATATTTATTTCCTATAGTGTTAAACAGATCCACTTAAAGGAAAGGCACCTGGTGTTTTACTTGGAAAGAGAAAACATACTCAAATATATTCAAGGCCAGGTGCAGTGGCTCATTCCTGTAATCCCAGCACTTTAGGAGACAGAGGCGGGCAGATCACTTGAGCTCAGGAATTCAAGACAAGCCCAGGCCCCATGGCAAAACTCTGTCTCTACTAAAAATAGAAAAATTAGCTAGGCATGGTGGTGTACACCTCTAGTCCCAGCTACTTGTGAGGCTGAGGTGGGAGGATCACCTGAGCCTGGGAATTCAAAGTTTCAGTGAGCTGAGATTATACCACTGCACTCCAGCCTGGGCGACAGAGTGAGACCCTATCTCAAAAAAAAAAAGTCATATAAATTTTACACCATTGAAAAACAATAAATGGAACAAATGCTTGCTAATGTTCATTTTACCTTTGTTGATTTAAAATCTCAATCCCCTCAATACACTGTTTTACAAATATCTTTAATGTTCAAAATCCAAATACAGAAGCTGTTAAAATATTAGCATTATCTTTATATAGCTGTCCTTTGGGATTCTCAGGGAGATTGTTCCTGATAGAAAATGGCATAGTATTTACATATAACCTACACACATCTACCCATGTAATTTCTTTTTTTTTTTTTTTTTGGAAACAGATTCTCACTCTGTCGCCTAGACTGGAGTGCAGTAGTGTGATCTCAGCTCACCACAACCTCCACCTCCCGGGTTCAAGCAATTTTCCTGCCTCAGCCTCCTGAGTAGCTGGGATTACAGGTGTGCATTACCATACCCGGCTAAATTTTGTATTTTTAGTAGAGATGGGGTTTCACAATGTTGATCAGGCTGGTCTCGAACTCCTGACCTTGTGATCTGCCCACCTTAGCCTCTCAAAGTGCTGGGATTACAGGTGTGAGCCACTACAGCCTGCCTCTATCCGTGTATTTTAAATCATCTTTTGATTACTTATAATACCTAATACAATGTAAACACTATGTAAACAGTTGTTATATTGTATCTTAAAATTTGTTTTATTCTTATTGTTGTGGTGTTATTCTTTAGTGGGTTTACTTTTTGAATGTTTCTGATCCACAGTTCTTGAATCCACAGATGTGGAATTCATGGATATGGAGGGCATACTATATACATTCCTGCACTGAGAAAATAGGAAACAGCTTAATTTTTATTTGAAGGTGGAAACCTTTGGCTTCAAGCCTGTCATTTAACACTGAGGACATTTCAGTCGTGAGCCTCTCGGTGGGCTGAGTCCTGGTCACTGCACATCTGCAGCCAGCTGTGCAATCAAGTCTTTGGCATCTTGCATGGTGGAGGGTATCTCTGAGCCGTTCTTAGTCACGTGGGTTCCAAACAAGAACATCTTCCTGTCATTTCCCACCTCAGATAATGCCAGCGCTTCATGGATATCTGTAATGTGATAGGCTGTTTCAAGATCCTTCATCCAGAGTGGAATAAGAACAGGACAAAGTTGGTTATTATGCAATCCTTTCAGATAAACATATTTGTTACTCTTATCTATTGCTCTCAGTGACTATACCATTTTCATATAGAGGATACTGTGACTCCATTATTATGAGCCCAGAGGTTGCTTGAATAAAAATGTTTTTTTAATCAGAATTATGCCAGCATTTATGAGTTTCTAAAATAAAGTATATTCTGGAATGAAGCCAAGCCAATATAATACCTTAATTTTCTAAACAGTGCAGTCAATTTGTTTCTAATTTTGTTTGTTCTTTGTTTAAAGACCGTCTTGCCTTGTTGCCCAGGCTGGAGTGCAGTCGCGCAGTCTTGGCTCACTGCAACCTCTGCCTCCCATGTTCAAGCAATTCTCCTGCCTCAACCTCCTGAGTAGCTGGGACTACAGGTGTGCATCACCACGCCCCACTCATTTAAAAAAATCTTTTGTAAAGAGGGGCATCTTGCTATGTTGCCCAGGCTGTTGTTGAACTCCTGGCCTCAAGCAATCCTTCCACTTAGGCCTCCCTAACTGCTGACATTACAGGCATGAGCCACTGTGCACAGTGTAAATGGATCCAATAACATGCGAATGATGTCTCAGGTTAATAAATGTACTGGTGTAACTGGAGAAAGAGGAGGGTGATGGATGGGAGAAGGGGCTCTCTGTAATAAGTCACATCAGGCAAAAATACCTGGTTTACTCCACACTTTCCTGTATGTGCCTTAATAGAGGTCATAACCCAAAGAGTAAAGATAATAGGAGGACTTTTTGAAAACCCTTATATAATCATTTGAACCAGTAAGTCAACTAAAAGCTTGGACCAAATATTTTGGCCAAGGAATATAAACAAAGATGCATTAATCTTAAACTAGAATATTCAAATCTTTCATCATTAAGGCCCAATGAAAGTTATAAATGTGATAACAAATGGCTCTGTTTATTCAATTTGATGGAGATAACAAAAAAAAAAAACACAAGGCACAGTATTGATAAATTTGACTATTAAAAATGAAAGTTGGCAGGCCAGGCATGGTGGCTCACGCCTATAATCGAAACACTTTGGAGGCCAAGGCGGGCAGATCACCTGAGGTCGGGAGGTCAAGACCAGCCTGATCAACATGGTGAAACCACGTCTTTAAAAAAAAAAAAGAAAGAAAGTTGGCTGGGCGTGGTGGCTCATGCCTGTAATCCCAGCACTTTGGTAGGCCGAGGCAGGTGGATCACTTGAGGCCAGGAGTTTGAGATCAGTGTGGCCAACATGGCAAAACTCCATCTCTACTAAAAATACAAAAATTAGCCAGGTGTGGCGGTAATCCCAGCTACTCAAGAGGCTGCTGTGTGTGCCTGTAGTCCCAGCTACTCATGAGGCTGTGGCATTGAGAATTGCTTCAACCCGGGAGGCAGAAGTTGTGGTGAGCCAAAATTGCACCATTGCACTCCAGCCAGGATGACAGAGCAAGCCTTTGCCTCAAAAAAAAAAAAAGTCGGGAGTGGTGGAGCATGCCACTCCGGAGGCTGAGGCATGGGACTCACTTGAACCAAGGAGATAATGAGCTGAGATCACACCACTGCACTCCAGCCTAGGTGATAGAGCAGGACTCTGTAAAAAAAAAAAAAAAAAAAAAAAAAAAGAAGAAGAAGAAGAAGAATCCCATTGCAGATGTATACCATATTTTATACATCCATTTATCTGTGGATGGAGACTTGGGTAGCTTCCATTTCTAGCTATTATGAGTAATGCTGCTATGAACATATCATAAAACATACAAAACAAAACAATATAAATCATAAAGAAACATAAAACAGCCAAACATACAAATATCAATTTGAGTCCTTGCTTTTAATTCTTTACATTACATACCTAGAAGTGGAATTGCTGCATCATATGGGAAGTCCATTTTTTTTTTTGAGATGGCGTTTTGCTCTGTCACCCAGGCTGGCGTGCAGTGGTATAATCTCGGCTCATTGTAACCTCTGCCTCCTGGGTTCAAGCAATTCTACTGCCTTAGCCTCCCAAGTAGCTGGGATTACAGGTGCCTGCCACCACACCCAGCTAATTTTTGTATTTTTAGTACAGACGGGGTTTCACCATGTTGGCCAGGCTGGTCTCAAACTCCTGACCTTTTGATCCACCTGCCTCAGCCTCCCAGAGTGCTGGGATTACAGGTATAAGCCACCACGACGCCCAGCCTGGGAATTCTATTTTTTATTTTTTTGAGGATCTATGTTACTATTTTCCATATCAGCTCTGCCATTTTACATTCTCACCAGCAGTTCACAAGGGTTCCAAATTATCTACGTATATTTAATATTTTTAACGCATGTGTAAAATAAGTTCAGATCAGTCTGATTGACCTAAAGCAAAATGATTTCTTTATACATGGCAGCCACTCAAATATTTTGTTGAATCAAATTTAACAATTAATATATATTTATTGAAGTAAGTTCAACACACAACTGTTGAATTCCTAGAATGCACAAGACAATATGCTAGGTGTTACAAGTGACACAAAGATGAATAATAGTCTCTACCCTCAAGGTGTTTATAATCCAAAGCCTCTAATAAATATAAATTGAATTAAATATATAGCATACTGTTGACTAGCTATTAAAAGTATACATTTCTTGTATTAATAACAAAACTATTGAGTACAATTTATATTAGCATAGATTTTTACCTGTTTGTTTGCAAATACAACCAGAGGAAGTACTGGGTTTGCTGAAATTAACTGATGAAGGTATTTCTTGGCTTCAGGTAATCGTCTGTGATCTGCTGAATCCACCACAAAGATCAGCAGCAATCCCTTGGATAGGTACGTGTCCGAGTAGGAACGAAAAGGTTCACTGCCACCAACTGCAGAGAATAGTAGAGGAAGAAGACACACACACAAAAATCACAGAAGCATGCACCCAGGGAGCAGGCAGGGCACATCTAGATTTCTGAACACAAGATAGATATTTTGATAAAATATCACTGTTTTAGAGTGTATGCAGTCCTGAGTGACCAAAGGTATGTTAGCGGGAAACTGGTTGGTGAGAAGAACATTTACAAGTGGTTTATTCATTACTGTATCACAAAGGATCTGAAGAGAGATGCTAAGTACTACAGTGGATGTCTCCTGATTCCATTGTATACAGCAGCCATGTCAGCCACTGCATGTTTATCAGTTATAGATCAGAAAATGGGAGTAAGGCCAGGTGCAGTGGCTCACACCCTATAATCCCAACATTTTGGGAGGCTGAGGCAGGAGGACCTCTTGAGCCCAGTAGTTCAAGACCAGCCTGGGCAACAGGGTGAGGCCCTGTCTCTGCAAAAATAAAAACTAAAAAATGAGCTGGTGTGGTGGTGCATGCCTGAGGTGCTAGCGACTAGGGAGGTTGAAGTGGGAGGATCACCTGAGTCCAGGAAGTGCAGTGGCGTGAACACGGCTACAGTGAGCTGTATTTGCACCATTATACTCCAGAGTGAGACCCCATCTATCTCAAAAAAAAAAAAGAGAAAATGGGAGTATGCTACTAAAATAATTAAGAATGGAAAGGATGGTAGGCCAAAACCCACAATAAAATAATTTTATTTTTTTAAAGATGGTGTTTCACCATGTTGGTCAGGCTGGTCTCAAACTCCCTACCTCAGGTGATCTGCCTGCCTTGGCTTCCAAAGGGCTTGGATTACAGGCGTGAGCCACCACGCCCGGCCCAATAAAATAATTTTTAAATGAACTGAATTTATTGGCTAGTCTAACTTTGTCAAAATCCCAGAACTAACTTCTCTTAATATTGCCCTGAGAGTTAACATGATCCCGTGGGTATTCAGGAATATTTGCTTCAGAAAAAAAAAAAAAAAAGTGCCTTTTGATTACTTCATCCTGCTGATTCTTCCCGGAATAAACTTTTTGGTTAATGATAATAACATATATACAGTAGATTTTGTTTTTATTTTTGTCATAGAAGTATTGGCAAACCATGGCCCACAGTTTAAATTTGACCAGCTGCCTATTTTTATGCAGCTCACTAGGTGAAAATGGCTTTTACACATCTAAATATTAGGGGAGAAGAAAAGGAAGAATGATATTTTCTGACACAGGACTATTATATCAAGTTTAGATTTTGGTGCCCAGAAATCAAGTTTTATAGTAACACTGACAAATATATGGATATGTTTTTACCTATCATCTATGACTGCTTTCTCACAACAGAGTTGAGCATTCGCAACGGAGAGCATGTGGCCTGCAAAGCATGAGTTACTATGTAGTCCTTGACAGAAAAAGTTTTTAGACCTCTGTTTCAATAACTTAACAAAAGCATTTTAAATGCTAACAAGAAAGAATCTTTGCCTTTCCTTTGGTTTCCTTTGTATAGAGGTAGGCTAGCCATTGTTTGAAGTATTTTGTTTTTAATTCGTTAAAATAGTGGGGTGTGACCTTCTAAGTAGCTCATATGGTATTAACACACTTAGTTTAAACATCGGTGGACATGTGGGTTGTTCCCCATTTTTTGCTACAATAAACTGCTGCTCTAAACAGTTTTGTATTTGTCTCCTGAGGTCCATACATGCAAGAGTTTCTCCAGCTACCTACAGTGAACTAATGCCAAATAGGCCAAATTGTTTTCCAAAGAAGTTGGTACCAATACATACTCCACCAACAGCCAATAGTCACTAAGTTTCCTTTATATCCACATCCTCTTTTTTCCCCCCCTTGAGATAAGGTTGTGCTCTGTCATCCAGGCTGGAGGGTAGTGGTGTAATCTCTGCTCACTGCAACCTCCTGTTTCTGCGCTCAAGCTGTCCTCCTTCCTCAGCCTCTCCAGTAGCTGGGACTACAAGCATGAGCCACCATTCCTGGCTAATTTTGTATTTTCTCTAGAGCTGGGGTTTCTCCATGTTACCCAGGCTGGTCTTGAACCCTTGGACTCCAGTGATCCACATGCCTTGGCTTCCCAAAGTGCTGGGATTATAGGCATGAGCTACCGTGCCTGGCTATTTTTCAAATGTGAAGCCAACCTTTCGTTCTTGGAGAAACTCATCCGGTGATATCTCTTTAATATATTAACTGAATTTAGTTTACTACAATTTTGTTCAGATTTCTGTATTTCCATTTTTTATACTATCTGGTTTGGATATACCATGACCTCATACCTTGAGTTGGACAGCATTTCTTTTTTTCTCCTATTCTCTGAAAGAATTTATGTAAGATTAAAATTGATGAGCTTACCCATAAACCCACTGATCTGGTGTTTTCATTACTGGATGACTTTTTGCTATTGATATCTTTAAAAGTTTTAAATTATCAGTATTCCTACTTCTTCTTGAGTCCATTTTCCTAAGACACATGTTTGGAGGATTTTTGTCACTTATCCAGGACATCCTGTCTATTGGTACAAATTTGTTAATATATGTATTATACTTTTGTCTCCTAATCAATGATACACTCTTTTCTCTTCGTGACATTATTTGTGATTTCCAGATTTTCCTTAATGAATTTCACCAGAAATTTGTCTGTCTTGTTTATCTATTCAAGGAACTAACTTTTGACTTTGCTGATCTTTGCTACTGTACCTTTATAAATTTCACTGGCTTCATGTCTTTATTATCTCTCCTTCTACCTCTTTGGTTTTATTCTGCTGTTCTTTTACCTAATTTACATTGCATATTTAACCTGTAAGTTTTCAGCTATTTTTCTTTCAACTATAAGCATTTAAGATTATAAATGCTTTAAATGCCAGTTTTGATCAGTAGATTTTGTCTTTTTTGTTATTTTTTTGAGACACAGTCTCACTCTGTTGCCCAGGCTGGAGTACAATGGTGTGATCGTGGCTCACTGCAACTTCTGCCTTCTGGGCTCAAGTGATCCTCCTGCCTCAGCCTCCAGAGTTGCTGGGACTACAGGCAGGCACCACCATGCTCAGCTCATTTTTTGTATTTTTTGTAGAGACAGGGTTTTGCCATGTTGCCCAGGTTGTTCTCAAACTCCTGGATTCAAGCCATCCACCTGCCCTGGCCTCCCAAAGTGCTGGGATTACAGGTGTAAGCCACGGTACCCAGCCTGAACTCATATTTGATTAATCTCAATATGAAAATACTGGGGGTCTTTGCTCCAGAATTAGAAACTGGGGGAGCTACTGACTGGGAGCATGTTAACACCCTTCCAGGGGCCCTCATGTCATGCAGGCATCTCAGCTAGTGCTTTCCTATTTTGCCTCAGGCCCACTGCAGATTAAATACTGCCATGTGCCTCTAGAGAACACCACTGTTCTCTTTGCTCATCTCTACTGGGGCTGCCACTCCAGTTTCAACTCATGAGTTGTTTTTTCTTTCTTTGGGAGGAGGGAAAGGGCAGGAAGAGCAAAGCAGGTAGCCTTGAAAATTTGTCTTACTTGTTCCAAGTTCATCAATGCTTTAAAAAATAAATTTTAGGCCGGGCGCGGTGGCTCACACATGTAATCCCAGCACTTTGGGAGGCCAAGGCGGGTGAATCACGAGGTCAAGAAATTGAGACCATCCTGGTCAACACGGTGAAACCCCATCTCTACTAAAAATACAAAAATTAGCTGGGCATGATGGTGTGTGCCTGTAATCCCAGCTACTCAGGAGGCTGAGGCAGGAGAATTGCCTGAACCCAGGAGGCGGAGGTTGCGGTGAGCCGAGATCGCACCATTGCACTCCAGCCTGGGTAACAAGAGCGAAACTCCGCCTCAAAATAAATAAATAAATAATAAATTTTAACCAGGATTTGTGGTTTTGTCACAGGAAGGCCCTTCAGAAACTATGGTAGAAACTAAAATCTCTCCATTTATTTTTGCCACTATTTTTTAGTGCATAAACCGCAAGAATTTTTTAAAAGATTGAGATAATCTGTAGAATGTTGATGAAGAGATATAGTCAAAGCTGTATGTGAATATATCATTTCTACAAATAGGCTTATACAAGAAAACTTCATCTCCCACCAACCCCTAACATACTCCAAGTGTTACACAACCGCGTAAGAGCCCATACAGATATATATCACTGAGTATCACTGGATGCTACATCCTAAAAAATGCCTCCTTAGAAGCTCTGCCCTGTGGCATTATGAAAATTTACCTAAATTGATGGCTTAACATAGCCACTGTGCAGATACATGTTTTAAAAGTCAAAGGTTAGGCCAGGCGCAGTGGCTCATACCTATAATCCCAGCACTTTGGAAGGCCGAGGCGGGTGGATCACGAGGTCAAGAGATCGAGACCATCCTGGTCAACAGATCAAGACCATCCTGGTCAACATGGTGAAACCCCGTCTCTACTAAAAATACAAAAATTAGCTGGGCATGGTGGCGCACGCCTGTAGTCCCAGCTATTCGGGAGGCTGAGGCAGGAGAATTGCTTGAACCCAGGAGGCGGAGGTTGTGGTGAGCCGAGATCGTGCTATTGCACTCCAGCCTGGGTAACAAGAGCGAAACTCTGTCTCAAAGAAAAAAAAGAACTCAAAGGTTGCAAGTATAAACTATTCTTCTTCAGGATATTGATGGTTATTATTAAAATTGGGAACACAGTTGGCACTTAATTCATTTTTATTGAATATGTAGCATTTGCCAGACATTGGGTACGCATGGTTGAACAAAACAAGCATAACAAAATTCACCACTTAGTTGGGTAGACAGATTAAAAAAATAAAATAAAAATAAATAGTGAATGTTATTAAAAACCTTATGGAGGAAGCAAACAGCATTGGGGAACATACTTAGAAAGAATTATTTTATGAGCTGGGCATGATGGCTCAGGCCTGTAATCCCAGCACTTTGAGAGGCCAAGGTGGGAGGATCACCTAAGGTCAGGAGTTTGAGACCAGCCTGGCCAACATGGTAGAACCCCGTTTCTACCAAAAATACAGAAAAATTAGCTAGGCATGGTGATCCATGCCTGTAATTCCAGCTACTCAGGAGACTGAGGCAAGAGAATCGCCTGAATCCTGGAGGCAGAGGTTGCAGTGAGTGGAGATCACGCCACTGCACTCCAGCCTGCGTGACAGAGCAGGACTCTGTCTCAAAATAATAATAATGATTTCACGGGTGATCATGTTTCTCCAGTATTACCTCAACGAGGAGGGAGATCGGGTCTATATGCTGAAGAAATTTGACCCGATGGGACAACAGATCTGCTCAGCCCATCCTGCTCGGTTCTCTGACCTGACACTGAATCACCATCAAGAAACACTTCAAGGTGCTCATGACCGAGCAACGCACCCTGTCCTCTGAAAGTCCGTTATACTGATGTCTCTTCTGCTGCCTGTTACCCCTCAGAGACTAGATAACCAAACTCTTCAATCCATGAGCCCTGATGCCTTTTTGCCAGCCATACTCTGTGGCATTCAGTGTCATCATGGCGATTGATCATGCTTGTGTGAGCCTATCATGGCGGAATCACCCATAAAGGGAGCATGCTTGACTTTTCTCATATTTTAAATTACTGTGAGATTATTAAAGATAAAATGATTTGGAAAAAAAATGATTTCATGGGGCCATGTAAGCTAATACCTGAAGGTTGAGGAGCAAGCCCTCATGGGAGAAGCAGGGGAGGGGTAATAGCATTTCTGACGTAAGGTACACCCAAGAAGGCTCTTTTAAAAAAAAAAGAGAGGAGTGCAATAAGCCTGGAGTGAGGTAAGGTTAGGGAGGAGGCAGTTTATGAAGAGCCTCATGGGCCATAACAAACACTTTGAATTTTATTACAAGGATGAGATCTCCACACTGAAGAGTTTTAAATTAGCAAATCATGTACTTAAAAGTATGTGTTAAAATATCGCTCTTCATAAACAGATGAAAGCCAAAGTAAAAAGGTGACTGCAATAATCTTGCATGTTCTTCACATGTACCCCAAAACCTAAAATGCAATAAAAAATAATAATAATGATAATCTAAGTAATCAATGACAGAGATTCCAACTTGTATGAGGGCAGTAGAAAGGCTGTAGTCAATGAATTTGAGAAATGCATAGGAGATAGCAAAATCCAATGTTTTACTTGTGGACTGGAGGTGGGGATGCAGAAGGAGGAATCAAGGGTGACTCCCAGGTTTCTGGCTAGAGCAGCTTGGTGGGTATGGAGCCATTTACTGACCAAAGGATTATAGGGAAAAAAGGAACAAATATGGGAAAAATCAAGCATTTTGTTTTTGCCATGTTAGGTTTTAGAGGACTTGGATACGTTTGGGCTGGATAGATACATTTGGGAGTCATTAGCATATAGATGGCATTTAATGCCATGAGGATGGATGAATGTGTAAAGAGAGGACAAGAGGACTTGACCCAGCTTCAGGAGACAGTAATACTTAGAGAGGTGGTGACTCCAGAATTATTATCCAGTAGGGCCTGTGGACTGCTGTCTATTTAGAAGAGGTTTGGAGCTTGTCTATAATTTCATTTGCAGAGAAGCAAGCACACTGTACTTATACTTCTATTGCATGCTCATTTGCAGTAGTGTGGGAAGAAGGCTGATTATAGGAGATTATAGGAGGGAGGGCTAAAGCCTTCCTCTAATTTCCCCTTTACCACCACTATTGCAAGAAGGAGGACATCAAAAAAGCAAAAAGTGATTCCCCCCGACAGTGTACCTGGGTATTAAACTACACATGCATTCTTAAAGTCTAGGAAAATTTGATTCAGTGTTAGTTTTCACGAGGACCCAATGTTGATAACATCATGTCTGGCTTAAGACACAATACAATGTGGCTATCTTGTAACTAAGAAACAGAGAGCTTACTCTCCAGGAACTCCATTTGGCCATCTTCAGTGTTGATGCAAACTGCATTGAAACCTTGGGTGGGTGCCACACTGTGCTGGACTCTGTTTGAAGCTAGAGAGTGGAGGACACTGGTTTTTCCTGCTCCATCCAGGCCCAGCACTAGGATTTGCTTGTTTTTCTCCTGTGAAACAAAAGATAAATCAATAAACCCATGCTATCTGGGGCTTATTTTTCTGTCTCTTGGCAATTGTCCCGCCTGTGGTAGGATCCAATAATATTCTTGATATTATAAGCAGAATAAAACTTCACGGGCCGGGTGCAGTGGCTCATGGCTGTAATCCCAGCACTTTTGGAGGCCAAGGTTGGTGGATCTCTTGAGGTCAGAAGTTCCAGACCAGCCTGGCCAACATGATGAAACCTCATCTCTACTGAAAATACAAAAAATTAGCTGGGTGTGGTGTGTGCGTCTGTAAATCCAGCTACTGGGGAGGCTGAGGCACAAGAATCACTGGAATCCAGGAGGCGGAGGTTGCAGTGAGCTGAGGTCACACCACTGCACTCCAGCTGGCGACAGAGCGAGACTCTGTCTCCAAAGAAAAAAAAAAGGATAAAACTTCACGAATATTTTATAGATCTAGAACAAACTGTACCAATCAGCTAATATTTTTTAATTAGCTGTTGATTATGTGATATTAATCTCACATCCTTCCTCCATTCCACAACTCCTGATCAGTCTATTAAATAAATACTATCAGCATTTCTGAGCAGTGCTATAGACTGTGGGCCAATTCTAGAGTTCATTTTGCTTCTTGAATTCACGTCCATGAATTGGAGACTGCACCTGAATTCATTTTGTTGTTTGGGGTCTTGGGACCTCTGTGGTGCATGTATCGACTGTGCCACTCAGTGCATAAGGATCTAAGGTCTCAATTGTTAATTTCTCTTGTCTTCACAGTTAAATAACTGGATTGTAAGATCTTAGGGCAAGGTTTCTCTCTTATACTTTTTCACAAATGAGTATTTATTTTAAAAACTGATGAACTTGAAGTAAACTTAGAAAGAAGCATTCTAGGCCGGGCACTGTGGCTCATATCTGTAATCCCAGCACTTTGGAAGGCTGAGGTGGGTGGATTACTTGAGGCCAGGAGTTTGAAACCAGGCTTGCCATCACGGTGTAACCGTCTCTACCAAAAATACAAAAATCAGCCAGGTGTGGTGGCACACACCTGTAATCTCAGCTTCTCAGGAGGCCGAGGCATGAGAATTGCTTGAACCCAGGAAGTGGAGGTTGCAGGAACTGATATTGCACCACTGCACTCCAGCCTGGGTGACAGTGAGAGACTTTATCTCAAAAAAGGAAGGAAGGATGGAAGGAAGGAAGGAAGAAGGAAGGAAGGAAAGAAGGAAGGGAGGGAGGGAGGGGCATTCTATCAACTTATCAGCCTTAGAATTTTTTATGGCAAATGACTGAGGGACAGAAGGGTAGGCTGGTGTAAAGATCTTTCAGAGTGCTCCAAAATGTGGTTTCCAGGGTGTAAACTTTAACATAAACAATAATAAAATAAGCAACAATGTAGTCAGACTGCTGACAGGAATTCAATTCTACTTCTCAAACATCCTACTAAAGAAGTTTCTTATGCACAAAAAACTAATAATTGTCTTTAATGGCATTGGTTTAGAAATAACAATAATCTTACACCAAAAGCATTGGTAACAAAAGCCAAAATAGACAAATGGGACCTAATGAAACTCCACAGCTTCTGCACGGCAAAAGAAACAGTCACTAGAGTGGATCGGCAACCAACAGAAAGGGAAAAAATTTTTGCAGTCTACCCATCTGACAAAGGGCTGATATCCAGAATTTACAAAGAACTCAAACAGATTTACAGGAAAAAAACAAACAAGCCCATTCAAAAGTGGGCAAAGGATATGAACAGATACTTTACGAAAGAAGACATATACGAGGCCAACAATCATATGAAAAAATGCTCATCATCACTGGTCATCAGAGAGATGCAAATCAAAACCACATTGAGATACCATCTCACGCCAGTTAGAATGGCGATCATTAAAAAATCTGGAGACAACAGATGCTGGAGAGGATGTGGAGAAAAAGGAACACTTTTACACTGTTGGTGGGAGTGTAAATTAGTTCAACCATTGTGGAAGACAGTGTGGCGATTCCTCAAGGCCTTAGAAATAGAAATTCCATTTGACCCAGCAATCCCATTACTGGGTATATATCCAAAAGACTATAAATCGTTCTACTATAAGGACACATGTACACGAATGTTCATTGCAGCACTGTTTACAATAGCAAAGACCTGGAATCAACCCAAATGCCCATTGATAATAGACTGGATTGGAAAAATGTGGCACATATACACCATGGAATATTATGCAGCAATCAGAAATGATGAGTTTGTGTCGTTTGTAGGGACATGGATGAATCTGGAAAACATCATCCTCAGCAAACTGACACAAGAACAGAAAATGAAACACCGCATATTCTCACTCATAGGCGGGTGATGAAAAATGAGAACACATGGACACAGAAAGGGGAGTACTAAACAGTGGGGTCTATTGGGGGGAAAAGGGGAGGGCCAGTGGGAGGGGGAGGTGGGGAGGGATAGCCTGGGGAGAAATGCCAAATGTGGGTGAAGGGGAGAAGAAAAGCAAAGCACACTGCCATGTGTGTTCCTATGCAACTGTCTTGCATGCTCTGCTCATGTACCCCAAAACCTATAATCCAATAAAAAATTAAAAAAAAAAAAAAAGAAATAACAATAATCTTACACATTTCTGTTTGTTCTGCTTGAACTCTAAATGTTGACATTAGACTTAAACTAGATTTCTAGAAAAAAGTGATTGTAAATAGCATTAAAATATCTATCCCACTTTCTCTTTAGAAACTTCTATGTCAAAAATATTTTTTAAGGTCTGGCCTTATAAATACTTGTAGAGAGAGCATGATTTCTGAAGCCCATATGGTGAATAACAGAAAAATAGACCAGGCATGATGGCTCATGGCTGTAATCCCAGCACTTTGGGAGGCCAAGGCGGGCTGATCACCTGAGGTCAGGAGTTTGAGACCAGCCTAACCAACATGGTGAAATCCCGTCTCTAATAAAAATATAAAATTAGCCAGGCCTGGTGGCACATGCCTGTAATCCCAGCTGCTGGAGAGGCTAAGGCAGGAGAATTGCTACAACTTAGGTTATAGTGAGCCGAGAGGGGCCACTGCACTCCAGCCTGGGCAACATGAGTGAAACACTGTCTCAAAAAAAAATTTAAAAAAGTACATATTTGTTCTTGGAGCAAATCTTTGATGGCTGTTAAATTGTATTTTCTTTTCTTTCTTTTTTTTTTTTTTTGAGACAGAGTTTCACTGTTGTTACCCAGACTGGAATGCAGTGGCACGATCTCGGCTCACCACAACCTCCGCCTCCTGGGTTCAAGCAATTCTCCTGCCTCAGCCTCCCGAGTAGCTGGGACTACAGGCGCGCACCACCATGCCCAGCTAATTTTTGTATTTTTAGTAGAGACGGGGTTTTATCTTGTTGACCAGGAGGATCTCGACCTTTTGACCTCGTGATCCACCCGCCTCAGCCTCCCAAAGTGCTGGGATTATAGGCGTGAGCCACCGCGCCAGCCAGTAAATTGTATTTTCATGTGTCTTCCATCCCGGCCTCTTCCCCATTCCCTTTATCTACATCTAAATGTTATGATGTCATTCTGAGAGTGTGTCATGGTAAGGAAGAGGGGGAAGGGAGACTTCATTGGATGGTTTACAATTGCATGCTTTAAAGCAATATTGGCACCAAGAAATGTCAACCAAGAGTGGATTGTGTTCTCTCAGTCTTCACTAGCGGGCCCATTCAGCCTACCCCAACATACTTCATTCACAGATGCACATTCCCCACCCCCACATTCCACATTTTAACATCTCTGAAATTAGGATGTTTTTGACAATTAAGAGTGCATTTTGATTGGCAGAATTTTTTTTCTTTCTTTTTGAGACACCATCTCACTCTGTTGCCCAGGCTGGATTACAGTGGCACGATCTTGGCTCACTGCAACCTCTGCCTACCAGGTTCAAGTGATTTTCCTGCCTCTGCCTCTGGAGTAGCTGGGGTTACAGGCACACACCATCATGCCCAGTTAATTTTTTTTGTATTTTTAGTAGAGACGGGGTTTTGCCATGTTGGCCTGTTCTGGAACTCCTGACCTCAGGTGATCCGCCTCTCTGGGCCTCCCAAGGTACCAGATTACAGGCGTGAGCCACCGTGCCGGCTTTTTTTCTTAGTGGTACCTAGACTAATGACATCTTAGGCCCTATAAAATATTGTGAATTAAAGACAGTTCCCAGGCTGGGCACAGTGTCTCATGCCTGTAATCCCAGTACTTTGGGAGGCCAAGGTGGGCGGATCACTTGAGCTCAGGAGTTCAAGACCAGGCTTGAACTGGCAACATGGTGAAACCCCATCTCTACCAAAAATACAAAAATTAGCCAGGCATGGTGGTGCGCACCTGTAATCTCAGCTACTTGGGAGGCTGAAGTGGGAGGATGGCTTGAGCCCAGGAGGTGTTGATTGCAGTCAGCCAAGATTGCGCCACTGCACTCCGGCCTGGGCAACAGAGCCAGATTCTGTCCCAAAAAAACAAAACAAAAACACCAGTTCCCTACTCCCTTTCCAACCACATTGCTGACCCTACACTCATCCTACCTAGAAATTCTGCATTCAGGCTTCCTCATATTTATCTTCTCCTAAGGAAAAGTTAATTTCTAAACCAAGAGTTCAAACACAAAATGTGATTCTGAACACCATTGTTCTTTGTCAAAAGTTACTCCTTTAGCCATATATAGGTCTAGGGAGTCTGTGTTTTGCCAGAGATAACATTTCTGTTAATCTGTGGTGGTTCACGCCTGTTATCCCAGCAGTTTGGGAGGCCAAGGCAGTTGCATTGCTGGAGTCCAGGAGTTTGAGACCATCCTGGGCTACATGGCGAAACTGTCTCTAGAAAAAATACAAAAATCAACCGGGCATGGTGGCGTGTGCCTGTAGTGCCAGCCACTGGGGTTGGGAGGTGGGCGTGGCAACAGGCTGAGATAGGAGGATCCCTCCAGCCTGGGAGGTCAAAGTGCAGTTCGGGCCACTGCACTCCAGCCTGAGCATCAGAGTGAGACCGTATCTCAAAAAAGAAAAAAAGAAAAAAAAATGGTTAATTATTCAAATTGTCTAGAATCAGAATGCAGCTCTAAGCCAAGGAGCCAGCTCGGGAACTCCAGGAGCACAGAGACCGTCCAGCTGAACCAAACAATGCCAGGTTTCTAAGACCTGTCAGTTAAAACTTTTCCACCGTCCATTCAGGGTACTGGTGGTCTGAAACAATGGAATCGTCCACTGCAGCGTCCCCAGACACCTCCTGCATACATTCAGGAATGCTGCCCCTTTTGACAACGCATTCAACGCATAGAAAGCCTGCATGCGGGGAGGATTCGGGGCTGGTTTCGAAATGGGGTCAGGTGGTCTGTGCGCTAGTGGTGCGCGCTGGACAGATCCAAGGGCAGTAGAGGGGCCGTTCCCCATGTCCCCATGAAGACAGAGATCTCTTGTCCCTCAACACTAGACCCGACCTAGGTTAAGACACAGGGGTAGCGGTAAGGGCGAGGGTGGGCAGGGGGCCGGGGAAAAGGGGCTGGCGATGGGTCGTTGCAAATTTGGCACATCCCTTTCACCCGTAGGTAAATAGCCCTCAGATAAGATCCATTCCCTCCCGCGGGTCCGGCCCTCCGACGCAACAGAGCCTGCGCCGGAGTCTGAATGCTGACAATGGCCTTGGGGGCTGGGGTCCTGGGCACTGGGTCTCTTACCAGCGGCTCGAGCGGGGTGTTTGTCACTGTTACGATGCTGTCCTTGTTCTCTTCTTCTTGTCCCTTAAATTGTTCTTTCTCTTTCTTTGTCTCCTTCTCTTGCTCTGTCCTCTTTTCCTTTTTATCCTCTTTTCTCTTACTCCTCTCCTGCTTCTCCTTTTCTTTTTCCTTAATTTTCTCCTCCAACTCCTTTCTTTTCTCTTCCTTTCCCTTTTCTCTAATTTTCTCCTTCTCCGTCTCCTTTCCCTTCTCTTTCTTCTTCACTTTCCCTCTCTCCATCACCAGCGCCGCGGTTTCCTTCCCTCCCGCCGCGCGCCGGTGCTGAGCCGTGGCCCTGGGCCCCAGGTGTGGCTCCCGCGGTGCACGCCCGGTGCAGATGTAGGCCCGGCGGCGTAGACAACCCGCTGGCGCCGCCAACCCGACACCGCCGCCCACCTCGCGGGTGGAGGGCTTCTTGCAGCCGATTCTCTGAACACGCAGGGGTACGCAAAGAGGAAAGGGTGGAGGTGTGGGGGATGGGGTGAGCCCAACCAAGCGAAACCAAGAAGTCCCAGTCAGGACAAGGGACAGCTCGGCGGGGCGGATCACTGCTGCAGGAAAAGCGTCCCTAGCGCGATTCCTTCCGGCCAGGCAGGGTGGCTGAGAAGCGCCTTTCACGCGGGCAGCATCCCAAGCGACTTAGCGCCTGACGTCTCCCAGCTCGGCCAGCCTACATGGAGAACCCCTGGGGCGCCAGAGTCCAGAGCTTCCCGGGAGGATTCCCAGCCCTCCCCCAGCACGCAACCAAGAGCCTGTAATGCGTAGTCGTGTATTTCTCCGCCCTCTCCCGAGTAAACTCCACTAGGAGTGCCTCCAGACTACCACCCAGGATTATTAGTTAGGAACAAAATAGAAAAACGTGAATGGGTTCCATTAAGTTCCCGTTGTGTTTTTTTTTTTTTTGAGACGGAGTCTCTGTCACCAGGCTGGAGTGCAGTAGTGCAATCTCAGCTCACTGCAACCTCCCACTCCTGGATTCAAGCGATTTTCCTCCCTCAGCCTCCTGAGTAGCTGGGATTACAGGCGTGAACCACCACACCTAGCTAATTTTTGTATTTTTAGTAGAGACGGGGTGTCACCATGTTGGCCAGACTGGTCTCGAACTCCTGACCTCAAGTGATCCACCCGCCTAGGCCTCCCAGAGTGCTGGGATTACAGGCATGAGCCACTGTGCCCGGCCTGTATTTCGCTTTCAAAAAAATTATTCAGACATAACCCGCCAGGATCACAGTTGCTAGTAATGCCCAGTATTAAAACCAAAACCAAATAGTGTAGTCACTCCTAATTATCTAATAAATGGTAAATTAGGCACCCAAGGGGCTTTTCAAAGGTGGTATTGTTTCTCAAACTGGCTAGGAAATATTGGGAGGGTTCCTTTTATCTTGCTAAACTGAACTCTTTAGTATATTTCATAGTTTAGCACAATTATTTTTTAATGTAATAAAACTTATTTTCCTTCATTATATCTGTTTCAAATGAACTTTTGTTGTTGTTGTTTCAAAGAAACTTTTAAGAACAATGAATGGCAGGTTCCAGAAGGCTTGAGTGATGCAATGATTTTTAAGGTTGGCTGTTCCCAATAGCACTGGAAATGCAGTGCTTAATCACTTTTTCAAAGGTTTACTTCTGTTTATACACACACCAAGATGAATTTTCAGTCAAGTACAAAACTAATCTAATGGGGTTCACTCAATCCCATTAGAGGGACAGTACACACAATTTTGATACTCAGCTTAAAAGAAAATTCTTAGTTATACTAACCAGGAAGTCCTCCCTAAAATGCCAACACCCAAAACACCTTAATCCATATTCACTGCTAAAATATTTTATTTTAAAATATACCACAGTGAATGGATGTATCCATACTGGTTTTTATAAATGTACACATACACATCCATAGATATGACAAAGTATATATATATGCACTGGTTAAAGACCTATCCAAAAGGAAATATTAGTAGAAAGTTCATGTGTTTATACTTCATTTGACAATTAATACTTATTTGAACTGAAGTTTCAGTTGCTCAGCAATGACTAATAATATCAATGCCTGCCAATAACGACGACTAAATTGAGAACTGTAAATTTCACTGCTGTGCCTTGGGTCAAAATTTTCAATGAAATCCTAAATAAGTTAGTTATTCCTATAATGGGGCATATACTCAGAAGGAATAAATATCTGCCACTGTTACCAAAAGATTGTTCTCTGTAGAGCTCAAAAAAGTATTATGCTACAATACATCATTGGTATTTAAAAAGGATCTCTTGCTTAGATGTCACTGCAGATTCTGCTTATAATAGACAGAAAGGCAGGACTCCATTTCTTTCTTGTAAAGGAGGAAAGCCTTTTATAACTCTTGGAAGAAGTTTTGGTAGATATGTTCAGAGTCAAACACAGCAGCACTTTATTAACAAGGACAGAGTAATATAATCATAAGGAAATACTTGTAAGTCTAAATTAAATGGTATCTTGGGCAGCATAAAATGAATACTAACAAGGACAGGCATCCCAATGTATCTGTCTCACAGCTGTTCAATGTGAAAGTAGCTTGTAAGCAAGGACAAGAGCAACATTTACACCACAAATTGACTGTAAAATACTTCATTACATTGAGAAAGGTAATGAATGGTCAAATTCCATAACTAGAGACACCATTTGAGTATCTATCAATGCGCCAAACAGATCTGTTGTTAGATTTGAATACTGCCTGGTATGCAACTCAGATACTGATTTCCTCTTTATGTAGGAAGCCAACGTTCATGTTCTTGATAAGTCATTAATCTTTCTGATTGAGACAGTCCAAACCCATCTGACCTCAGAACACTAGGTCTAAGAGTCAGCTTCTTACAGTGATATATTTTCCTTGAGTTCGTTCATGGTGCTAAATCAGCATGTTACCATAATCTGAAAATGACATAGGGCACAAAGGAGCCATATATAAATAGAAAAGTATCTCATATTCCAGTATCACATGACAGAAAATTTCAAATTTATGGTTAAAATTATTTAAGACATTTATTTTTCTTGTGGCCATTCATTTAATTGATCAAAGAACATCAGTGTATTAAGAAGGTCCCTCTTTATCACATGATATTTCTAAGCAGATATTCTGGAATGCTCAGAAGATTCCACTTTCAGTCTCCTAAGGCCTCCTAAGACATAATTTAAAGTGGGACTTGAACAGAAGCAAGTATCTTCAGACTCTAGCTGAAATAGAAGTAGTTTCTGTTTAAATCCTGGGAAACCTTAGATAAGGTTTTTGAAACTGAAAAAAGACCAAATCAGCACACACACATAAAGGATACAACAGATACCAAGATGGGTAAATGCCTCGTTATTTTCAGTCCTCATAACCTGTACAATGTTATGAGGCAACCAATAGGCAGACTTTGAGGAATATGTTTCCCTATTTGAAACACAAGAAATTATTTATGAAAATATGGAGATGAAGAGGGAGCAGTTCTGTGCTTCTTGCTGTGTTACCTTTATTATATTCCTAGTGTCACTGAGACTAGTTTAATAACAGCCTGCAACAAGAATATTCTCATCACCAGCCACCTTTTCCACCTTTCTTCTTTTTCTGTTGCTGTTTCTTTTTTGTTGCTGGAGCCCCTGCAGGTTTCTGGTGTCTTGGGGGTATGATGTTACTTGTAGAGGCAGATACTGTTGCTGCACTGCCAGGTCTTGGGGAGGTGGGTGGGCTGCTCACAGTTTTACTGGCATCCCTGAAACCATCAGATCAGATTACTTTTTGGTCACTCATATATTCAATAAAGGAAGAATATAAAAATGTATGTACATGGGTTTTATCACACTTAATAATCTCCCACACATTTTCTATTTCTTTTAAGGTAAGTTCCCCAACTCCCTGTCAACTTTTCTTTTGAATAAAACTGTTACTGTTTTTATTGAAGAAAAGTAAAACATGGTACACATGCCAATTTTTAGAAAGCTTAGAAGATACAAAATTGTATTATTTTTTTTAGACAGAGTCTTGCTCTGTTCCTCAGCCTGGAGTGCAGTGGCGTCATCTTGGCTCACTGAAGCCTCCGCCTCCTGGGTTCATGCAATTCTCCTACCTCAGCCTCCAGAGTAGCAGGGATTACAGGCACACACAACCACACCTGGCTAATTTTTGTATTTTTAATAGAGACAGGGTTTTACCATGTTGGCCAGGCTGGTCTCGAACTCACAACCTCAGGTGATCCACCTGCCTTGACCTCCCAAAGTGCTGGGATTACAGGTGTGAGCCACTGTGCTCGGCCAGAAAATAATTTTTTTTTTGAGACAGTCTCACTTTGTTGCCAGGCTGGAGTGCAGTGGTACAATCTTGGCTCACTGCAACCTCCGACTCCCTGGTTCAAGCTATTCTCCTGCCTCAGCCTTCTGAGTGGCTGGGATTACAGGTATGGGTCACCAAGTCCAGCTAATTTTTGTATTTTTAGTAGAGATGGGGTTTCATCATATTGGCCAGGATGGTCTTGATCTCCTGAACTTGTGATCCACCTGCCTCGGCCTCCCAAGAGCTGGGATTACAGGCATGAGCCACCACACCCGGCCTCAGAAAATAAAATTTTAAAATAACCTATCATCCACCATGCAGAACGTATTAACATTTCTAATACTTCTTTCTAGTCATACTATTTATTTATATATACTTACTAGATATTTAGTTGAATGACTCAGCGTATTTAGTTGCCTTTTGAGACTTTTTCATTTTTTTTTATTTTTCTTTTTTATTTTTTTAAGACGGGGTTTCACCATGTCGGTCAGGCTGGTCTTGAACTCCCGACCTCAGGTGATCCACCCGCCTTGGCCTCCAAAGTGCTTGGATTACAGGCGTAAGCCACCGCGCCCGGCCAAGACTTTTTCTTTAGTTTTACAATACAACTAGTTTTAAATTTTTACTACATATATTTCACAATATATATTTGATCATATTGTAAATACTTAAAACTCTGACTGTATTGTAAAAACTAAAGGAAAAACTAGTCTGAAAAGGCTAGTACTTTCTTTCATTTATGTAAGTGTAGTACAAATATTTATCAAAGATATATCACTACACTTCTCATAAGTACTTAATATATATTAACGAATTCTCACTAATGGTCTTGAGTCAATCTCAGAAACAGTGTACGTTCTAAGTGCCCTCAATTGTGGAGCACTAACTTACAGTTCAGATGAAGCTCCTGTAGTTGCTCCCTGGGTCCCTTTTCCAATCTGATCCTTCTTTTTACCCTTCTTTCTTCCCCGGTAGTAAGAACGTTCTCGCATTGGCAGCCATCTTTCTGGATCTGGGGTAACTTTTGGGTCGTAATTCTTAGGCAATTTTCCTGCATAACAATTTTAAAGAAATGAGAGATGTGTCCATAATATTTTCAAGATAATTTAAACAATGTGTCTAAGCCTGGGAATAAATAACATTAAAACTGAAATGAACTTATTTGAGATAGTTTAGTTTGTATAATCTAGCAGGGGAAAAGGCCTTATTTCTTTTTTCTATACTTTAAGTTCTGGAAAACATGTACAGAACATGGTTTATTATATAGGTATACATATGCCATGATGGTCTGCTGCACCCATCAATCCATCTTCTCTGTTACTTCTCCTAATGTTATCAAACCCCTACACCTCCACCCCATGACAGGCCCTGGTGTGTGATGTTCCCGTTCCTGTGTCCATGTGTTCTCATTGTTCAACAGCCACTTATGAGTAAGGACATGTGGTGTTTGGTTTTCTGTTCCTGTGTTAGTTTGC